CTCCACCTCCAACCCGAGACTTCTCTACTCCTCTGAACACACCCCCCTCTTCCTGGCACCCCTCAGATCCTCAGAAAACCTTCTTCCAACCTTCAGAATCTCCTAGACCTTTCCAAACGCCACGCAGTTTCACCTGGCTACCCCAGACCCTTTAGAAACTTCCTTCCCAACCTTGACTCTCCTGGGCTCCTCAAACGACCCTCCCTCCACCTTGCCTCTAAGACCCTCAGGAGGCCTTTTTCCAACTCACAGTTGTCTAACCGCCTCCAAACCCCTTCTGGGCCACCTCCAAGACCCACAAAAGAGTACGCCCCAGCCCTCAATCTCTCAACCGTCCCCAGAGCCTCAGAAGACATCCCTTCTCAGCCCAAAGTTTCCCAGACCCTAGGGAACCCCCTTCCCACTTTTCCGAAGTCCCTCAACCTCTGAAGCCCCCCTCGCCAACCCACAGGTTCTCCAAACAATTCCTTGATTTCCCCTTTGTCCCTCTCATTCCCCTCCAGAGGTCCCATCTCTCCAAGTTTGAGTCTCTTGGGGATTTTTGACAGCCCCTCCCCTTCTACATCCCCACTCCATCTCAGGGTTTGCTGTCCCCTTCTGAGCCCCAAAATGCTTACTCCAGTCGGGACACTTCCCCTCCCCCTCACCGCAACACCGAGTCCTGGGGCATCTTCCCTCCGGGTCCCCCACATTCGCTTCCCCAACTTCCTTCGTGAAAACTTTTCCCTAAAGCTCCAGACTTTTCTCAAGCCCCTCAGACTCCTCCTCAGTGTCTGTAGAAGACCCCTGGACCCCCCTCACATGCCTCTCCTTACAGAAACCCCCACAGGCCCCAGAATGGATTCTTCCCACCCACAGATCCCCACATTCCCCCTTCCATCATTTTAACTGCTCAACCCACTTTCTGTCTCTGGGGTCCCCCTAGAGCCCCTCAATGCCATTCCTAACCAATCAAGTGACTAGGAAGTCATTCTCCTTCTGTCCCAGAACTTTACGGAACTCAGTTCCTGGGACCCCCTTTAAGTCAGCACAAAACTTTGCTCTCAAAGTAAGTCCCTGCTCTTTCTCCCCTTCCTCGGGATCTGGGCATCCCACTCCTAGCCTTGTTCTTCCCCCTCCTTCCCCAAGCCTTCCGGTCCAAAGCCCAGGACTGATCCCCTCAGCCTGTCCCGCCCCCCGCAAAAATGAATCAAAGACACCCCCCCCACCCCAGCAAGGACCCTTTGGCCCGATGTCCTTTCCTGCCGCTTTGTCTCCCTCGAATTTCCAGATTTCTCCTAAAACTCTCCCCATAGCCCCCAAAAAACTTTCTTCCAGCACCTGCAACTTCCCAGGCTAAATGGCTCCCCTCCCCCCACCTCCTCCTCCCCCCTAACTTCCTCCCTGTCCCTCAGACCTCGGAGGCAGAAACTGTTGGAGAGGGACAGTTTAGAATGGGGGGACTTGGAAAGAGGGGCGATCCAGCCACCCCCCTTCCCCCAGCTTCCTGGGTCTCTGTCCCCTCCCCCCAGCGTGCCGCGTCCTGGGCCGGGAAGGACGCGGAACCGCAGTGCCGCATTTGCGCCGGGGGAGGGAGCGAAGGGGGAGGGGGGCCCGGAGGCACCGCAGAAAGTTTGGTCCTCGGGAAGCGCTGAGTTGGCGAAATATGGGGTTGGGTGGGGGGAAGTGGGGAAGAGGAGGTGCCGAAGGGACGTGGCCCCAGACGGCCTGGAAGGCCTCTGAGCAGCCCCTCCCCCATGGCCTGGGGCGCCCTTTCCCCGGTGACCCCATTGAAGGGTGCTGAGGTGAGGGGGGGTGGAGTACTGCTGTGATGGTCAGACTAGGGGTCCGGGACAGCTACGGAAGCCGCTTTTACTTCGCAAATGTGTTTTGAGTGCCCACGGAGTGCCAAGCTGGAGAGAGCTGGGAGCTGAGGCCAGTGCAGAGTGGAGGGTCCGGCCCTACCTCCTTATCTCTTCCGTGTCATCTCTCCTTTCCTTCTTACAGGGACTCCGTGCCCTCCTCCTACCCCTTCTGTTTTTGAACCATCTCGTGGGGGAATGAGTTAAACTAAGCCGACCCGGTCCAGCCTCTGCAGCTGCGCACTGCGGCGGGTGCCCACTTTCCCATCGTGCCCCGGGAGGGAAGGAGTTAATCAAGCCCGCGGCCTGCGGCCTCCCGCTGCCAAGCGCACCGCGACTGCGCTCTGCCGGCTCAGCGCGGTCTAGAAGGGGTTAAGCGGCTTCCAACCGCTGCGGCTGCGCACTGCGGCGGGGGAGCTGTCCGCGGTGCTGGCCGCCGCGCGCCCCGCCCCCCGGCCCGGCCGGCCCGCCCCCCGGGTTGAATCCTCCGGGCGGACTGCGCGGACCCCACCCGTTTACCTCTTAACGGTTTCACGCCCTCTTGAACTC